GGGGGGGTTGCCGTGCAGCCCGGAGCGGGCCGGCCTCCCGCTGTCGCTCGGCGCTCGCGCCCGGTTCTGAGTCAGGGCCCTGGCTCGCGCCCAGGGGAGCGTCACTTTTTCCTCTGGAAAGAAAGCGCTTTGTGCTGCCTCCTTGGCCTTCCACGAGCCCCCCCGCCCCATCTGGCCGAAGAAGACGCCTGGAGTCCAGCAGAGAGAGGGGCCTGCAGGCCGGCGGGCGGAGGGGAAGTTTTCAGGGGACCAGGCTGTGAGGGTGGGGTCGGCAGGGCTAGTCTGGGTTGTGGGGCCCACAAGCGGGAGTGGGGCGTCCAAGGGGGCTGGTTGCTTTGCTTGGGCCTGAGGGGAGCACGGGGGAGTCTCCCAAACAGAGGGTCCCGCCCAGCAACCCCACAGCCAGGCACTGGCGTCTGCCTTCCGGGGCTGACCCATCGCTGCTTCAGGGCCTGCTGTTGACGGTGAGGGTCAGGCCGGAGCCGGCTGGTTCCTGCCCGCAGGCCGCCCAGGGCTTGGGTGGCAGCCGGTGCACACGTGGCGAAAACGTGGCCATGTCGCCACATGAGCCATGTCTGGGATCGTGAGTGGATCTCCTGGATGTAAAACTGGCTGGCTGGCAGGGCTCCCGGGAATCGGGGCCAGGCTGGCGTGTGTCTAGTGAGCCCTGATCCCCAGTGCTACGTGGGGCTGAAGCTGGGAGCCCCAGTGCTACGTGGGGCCGAAGCTGGGAGCCCCAGTGCCTCGTGGGGCTGAAGCGGGGAGTCCCGGTGGCCCTCCACAGGTTGACTCAGCGCACAGTCAACCTGTGGAACTCCTCGCCAGAGGATGTTGTGAAGGCCAGGACTTTAACAGGGTTCACAAAAGAGCTAGATACATTCCTGGAGGTTAGATCGATCCATTGATGGCGATTAGCCAGGCTGGGCGGGAACGGTGTCCCTGTCCTCTGTGTGTCTGGAAATAGGTGACAGGAGAGGGGTCATGTGAGGATTCCCTGTTCTGTTCCCTCCCTCTGGGGCACCTGGCGCTGGCCACTGTGGGCAGACAGGACCCTGGGCTGCATGGGCCTTTGGGCTGACCCCGTCTGGCCGTTACGTTCCCAGGGTGCAGAAGCTGGGAGCCCCGGGCCCCCGGGCGCTGGCCACTGTGGGCAGACAGGACCCTGGGCTGCATGGGCCTTTGGGCTGACCCCGTCTGGCCGTTACGTTCCCAGGGTGCAGAAGCTGGGAGCCCCGGTACCCCGTGGGGCAACAGACCCCGGTCTCATAGGGCTGAAGCCGCTC